CACACACTGAGCTAGTTTATCAGTTATAAGTAGCTAATCATCTAAGAACAAAAAGTAATGAAATTATGTCACTCTGAGCTATGGAACCCCATGGAGTGGGTTGGTGGAAAAGGAAATCTAAATGATAAATTGAATCTCAGATAAGAGCAGGACGGAAAAGCCCCCAAGGCATAAATAACATTAGCTACACACTGCCTTTTTTGAAAAGAAGATATGCAAGATAATTTGGCTTTTGTAAAATGCTTGAAAAATGTCTAGTCACTGCAGCTCAGCAGTATCTAAATGCATACTTTGAGGAATATAGCTTTAGAAGCTGCCTTATACAGAGTTCTGCTCCTTTTCATGTTTTACTTTGTGCAGCCGCTTCAGCCTAAAGCTGACTGCGCAGGTCAGCGTCAGCTGATTGTTGTTCTGCTGTGTGCTGAGCACAACCTGCCAGAACACCCATTCTGTCAATAGTTAACTCCCCCTTCTCTGAGCTTGTGCAGCCAACTTCATACTTTGAATTCTGCTGTTTTCACGTTTGGGAGGCAAAATAAGTTAGGATTAAAATCAAAGCGTTACAGTAACTGTTTCATTTGTTTGCGAAAATCTGATTTTATCTACTTTGTCCAACCTTTAAGCTTTAAAGCACTCCTGCAGTCATTACAATATTTTTTTCTCTAACAGCATTAAAATTGTAGTTGAAAATAAAAGAAATTTCTTGATTGATTAATTTAAACAGCTTACTGTGAACTGTTGGATGCATGTGGTGCTGAAATCAGGGAGTTGGTCACAATGATGACAGTTTGGTGTCAAAATGTTGTCACTGTTGCATATTTTGCAACTAAAGGAGAAAAAAAGTCATCCAGGCACTGGAAAATGTTATGGAAAGCTATTTACACAGCTTCACTATATGCATGCATCATATAGTGCCCCTTCCTCTATCTCTGTTCATATGACCCACATACTGTACAGGTGAAAGTCAAAGGTTATGCAGAATTGATATTGCACAACTGCTCTCCTTCTATCTGAACCACCTTTGGCTTCTTTCAGTGAAACATTCACGACGTGGGGATGAAATCTGTTGTTGTGCAAAAAATTCAAAGGTATGCATGGATTTCTCAATAGTAGGATGCTTTTTCCAAGGATTTTTTTTTTTTCATTTTCAACTACAACTGCAAATGAAGCAACTTTGCTATTTTCTATTTTTCAGGTTTGATTTTTATTTCGTTATTTTTGTAACTGACTGTAAAAAAAACACACAAAAATCTACCATAGGGGCTTTGATTAAGAGATCAGTTTTAATTAGAAATGAAAGAAATTATTCCATAAGACAGCCAATCTTCCTAACTTTTATCTGATGTGTATCAGAGTCTGCTATCTGGGTTGATGCATTTACAGGTTGAAAAATCTGGGAATCACTTTTAAATCATTCATAAAAAACAGAATCTTTTTTATTTTTCTAGCTCTTGAACAATTGAGTTATACCCCTGTCTGATTTATTTGTGCTTCTTTTGTTTGTCTGACTATAACTAAGTCACTCAATAATTGTATTATATTTATTTACACTTTCTATTTTTCAAGAATTATAACAACCACTCAATAGTTTCTTTATTAGGTATCACTGTTTGCCTGCTTGGTAACACAAACAGCTCCTGAGTCAATCTCATAGCAGTAGGTTGATGCTGCCCTGTCTGATGGGTCTAAATTTTAAAAGCTTCTTAATAGCGATATTTTGGTTTTGGTCCTCCTTAGCGGGGAACTTGTGCTCACCTACTCTTGTTACTATTTGCCAGCCAGTTGCCAGATCTGGTAATGCTAATGCTAATGCTAACCAAACCAAAAATATATCCCAGTTCAGACGAAAAGGGGCAACCTCTGCCTACCTTCTCAGCCCCTTTGCCCATTTATTGGCACCAGCACTCAGAAGCTTGACCCGTCTTCATCCTCATTTGCTTTTTGTTTTATTTATTTGTTTTTTTTGGGAATGGCTTACAGTAAATCTGAAAAAATGGAAGCCATTTATCACAGTATCTATTAGTTACTGGTAGTAGCTAATAGCATCTGGCAACAAATGAGCTCCATCTCATGTGACCTCAACCTGCTATTCCTATTTGTGCAGAATCCTTTTATACTGACTTCAGGATCATGCAGCAACTTTTTTAGTATTTTGGATCTGTCAACTGTTTATGGTTTTGTTTTTAAGAAAACAAAACTGCTTTTTTTAAGCAATTGTTCAGTACCTAAGTCATTGTTATATATAACGTGCAGTTTGAGTAATGCATGAATTCATATGCATTCATAAATGCTGACTTTCTTTATCTGTTTATTGGCTTTATGCCAGTTATTATTTCATCTATTTACTTGTATTTTTATTCAACCTTTATTTTACCAGGAAGTTCCTTTACATAAAATCTCTTTTTCATGAGAGACCTGAGCCAGAGGCACCAGAAACATTACATATAAAATCATATATGCGCAGATAAAATAACTTATAGAATAATACTCACACTCTCCAATCAAGCCCCTATTAGAATAGATTTAAAGGCACTCAGTGGAACATGATCCTGAAGCTTCAGAGAACTTCCAATGTTATTCCTTGATCAAGGGGCAGCAATGGATTAAGTTTTTGCCCAGATCTGTGAAGAACCTCGGGGCAGTGAGGAGAAATCAATGATAAGAGCGCGAGTCGTAACGACTGTTGGCATTTATAGGGGTGTTTTACCCTATAAATGAGACGTAGTGAAGATCATGAGAGGTTCTGTATGTAGAGTCAGTGATGTAATATAGGGTGACCTAGCAGTGAATGGCTGCATTCAAATACAGAATATTTCTGATTCAACTGGTCCCTCACAGTGTTATTATTTATTGTTATAACTGTTGTATGTATCTATATTTCATTTTTTTTCAATAAATAGAGATTTAATAATATTAGTTTAGCAACTAATATTACTTTTAACTATCAGAATAAGATAAATGTCCTACTCCTGTGCTTCTATATTTATACTGACTTATTCAATATACAAGTTGAACTGGTTGAGTCGCCTTAGAGATGAGCTCAATGAGGACACCTGTTTGTTCTGCCCGTAGGGACTAGTTTGGCTTCCTTTACCTACAGACAGGTTTCCTGCCAAACCTTTTTTTAATATTCTGGGAATAAACGTCAAACGATGCTATATGCATTCGGGTCTTTCTTTGCTTGCAATCAATTGGCTGCTGTGTGGAGAAGGTTCAGGACTTCAGACCTGTGACTCCGCCTTTGTTTGCATGTTACTGATGCAGAAGTTAAAGCCTTTATGTACTGGATACATTATCAGTTTTGTCATGAGAAGAAACGGCACATTATCGTACTGATTAAGATTGGATTAGATTAGATAACATTGCCATGGTTATCTGAAATGACCGCCTTGTTTTTCAGTCAGTGTTTTTATGATGTTAGTAAATGACTTTAAAATATTTGCTCTTGTAAATGACATAATGCAAGCCAGTCAAAACAAGACATGTCACCTGTACTGTAGCTGTTGGCCAGTTTCAAATTCTAGAGGTATGATAAGCATCAATAAGAAATGAAAATAAACTGCACACCATGAACGAACTGCTTTCGTTGAAATAGCAAAGAAACAATTATTTTTAATGCTGAAATAATCTGTCATGCTGGTAATTACTGCTGTAAAATGCTCCCAATAACAATTATGTATTCTCACTTCTGCATGCATAACAATGAGTTACTAATGCGGTGGTGTTTGCTTCAAGTATTTTTTTTACATTTACAGCCAATGAAAGAATAAAAAGAAGCATTTTCTTTTGCAGAAATGCTTTAATTTGATGATTTGCGCCTCAGACAGTCAAAGTTGGCTGTTTAGAGAGATGTAATGGAAAATTTGGTGGAAGAAAAAAGCCTGTTGCAGAGAAGACGCGCAAGTTGCAGTGTTAGCCACTGATTTGTGTTATCATACTTGAGCAGAATAAATATAAGGCTGTTGCTTGGTAAAAAACAAAAAAAAACACAAATACATTTCTTTGTTGAATCATGATAAATTTATTTTGTGTTTTCTTAAGTCTGAAGTCAGTGCAAACATTTTCAGGATATTTAGGAGCTCCTCTTAGATGATGATTAATGAGTTTATGAAGATTTTGATTGGATTTTCCAGCAGATCAACTTGTTGTGAGAAGAAAAGTCCCGAGCTTCCATTACATGTCTGCAGACATACAGCCTCCATGTCATGCTACATTCATGCAGTAACGCATGCTAAACTAATTTCCACTAGGTAATGAGAGCGCTCAGTAATCTTCTGTGTGAAGATGTCACTTTTACTGAACCTTGGTCCTATTCTGATTTTCTGAAAACCACAAGCTTTATTTTTATTCTCTGTAAGCCTAATAATAAGCACAAAAAAAATAAATAAAAAGTGTTACCTCTTGCTAAATAGAGCAGCAAAAACATGCTCCAGGTTTGGTCTAAACCTATGAACCAAAGTGGAAAGTAAAAGGGAGATTTTAGCGTCATACAGTAGGTCATTTTAGATCATGGTTTTGGTCGAAACAGAAAATATTTTTTATTGCATATGAAGCAGATTTTTTATGAAAATGTCTTTACTTTATTTATGAAATTCTAATGTCATGTTTTAAGGTAATATTTGAGTTACTATAAAAGCTAATTAAGTTCAAGCAGAGTCAATGTTTTAAAAATAGATACGGTCAGTTTTACTGTAAATTATCTATAGGACAGAAACGTGTTCCCTAAAAGTGCAGAAATTGAAGACGTAAGGACCTTTTTATGGGGCAAAGGCCAGAGCACACAGCAGCATTTTTAACTGAAAGGAAGTGAAACTTGAAGACTTAACCATACAAAAAGGACCTCTGCAAGAGATTAAAATTTTCTAGCTATCTACTCATACTAGTATTTCAGTTTCATTGACTGTTCTTATTTCTCTTCTTTTTACAGACTGAACATTATAACAGAGCAGTTTAAAGGACTCTCTGCCAAGCCTCTTCTGATTGCGGTCTTCAAAGCTCTTCCTAATCCTGATGTTTCCCTGAAACCTGTAAAGTCTTGACCGAGAAGAATTGGATAAAAATAGTTTGACTCATTCATCTGCCTGAACTGTGACACACATGGTGTCAGTCATGACGGAGAGGAAAGGTGTGGATAAGGACACATTGTGGGGTTCTACATGGTTTGCCTGAACACATGAGCTCCAGTTTCCTCTGAGACCCTCGGACTGTTTTTGGTTATGCCTTCGACTGCTGACAGGAAGGACCGTCAGTCTGTTTACATCCTTTACTTCTCAGGAAATGCAAACTGACTGAATAGATTTTTTTATATTTTTCCTTTCCAAAATGGAGCGCATAAGGAGCCGTGCTAATGTTGCACATCTGGCCTCAGTGATATAAGAAGAAAGACTGAAAGTACTTGAACTGATAACGACTATATGACTCTACCCTCGGCAGACATCACTGAAACATAATCTGGAGAACTTTCTTCACCTTCTCCAGCATGCATTGCTCTATCAGGAAGAAACGTCCCAAACGTGACTCCGATTTCTCCGCCATCGTTGTTCCCTCCATGCACGGGTCCGGCTACCTTGACTACACTGTCGAGAACCACCCTTCTAGGTCGTTTTTGGTCATCGATGAGTTTAGACAACAAGAGATGCTGTGTGACCTGCTGCTGCATGTCACGTATAAGGACAGGACTATGGACTTTAAGGTAATGGGAATGCCAGTCGCACAGAGCTTTGAACCTTTTCACATTTTTTTCACAGCAGGTTCTATTGGGGTTTATATGATAGGCTTAAAAAAAGAGGTTGTGGTTTACTAATTAAAACTTTTAATATTTTTTGCTGTGTTTTATTCGGTGCTCATTAGTCACTTCTGTGTTGGTGTATGTCTCTATCGGGTTAGCATATTTGGAAACTAAAAAGAATAGCATCACAGCATGATGCTGCCACCACCATATTCAACCAGGGCAGCGGTGTGTTCAAGGGGATGTTTAGTATTTATTTTCTGCCTCATTTGGCTTTTTGCATTAAGGGCAGAAGTGTAATTTAGTCCTACCTGACCATAGGACCTTCAGCATGCATGCATTGTTCTCAGGATGACGCATTGCTGAAAACTAGACTTTTTTTTATAACTTAATGGTGGCTTTTGTCACCCTGAAGCCAGATACTGCATAAATTGAAGTCACAATGTAGACAGGTTCTCCATTTTGTGCTGAGAATATGTGCAGCTCCTCCAGAGTCACCAAGGATCACTTGGCTGCTTCCCTGATTGATGCTTTCCTTGACAGTTCAGGTTACTTCTTCAACAGAGCTCTTTTCAGACGTTAAATCTCAGAGTTTTCTGTTTCATTTACAGAACAGCTGGACTTAGGGAAATCATAAAGATGGTCAGTTGAACTAGCCGTTGTTCAGTACTATCTGGGGAAAAAAGGGTGTGAGTACGAATGTGTTTGAGACTTCAGCTTTTATTTTGAAAAACTAAGTGTTTGAACCCATTTTCTTCCATTTTACTATTATACCTTGTTTTTATTTTTAGTCTATCACATTAAATGTATGTAAAATACTGTACAAAAACATTTGTGACTATTCTAACAAAATATTTTAAGAAAATCAATTAACACTTGTAAGACTATGAATTAATTCAATAGCCTTTTTGAAATTTTACTTCATATAATGTATTTATGTGGGTCAGCTCTAATTATTACTTATTAAAAGTAAGTTTAAAATATATTTAGCATACATTTATTAGCAGAGTCCAGCTCACATTATTCCAGACTGGCCTAGATGATCTGTTTCATCCTCCAGGCTCTGATCGCCTTTCAAACATTTCCTGCTCATCATAGCTTAATGAAAATCATCCCTTAAGACAGTTTGTTTTGTTTTACATTATATGCCTAGAAAAAGATTTCTTATTCACTTTTTTCAAGCTGATTGTCCACCAAGACTAATTTGAGTGCTGAAATTGAGTAACTTAGCTAAATTCATATATTTTCACATGAAATGCTGTGCAGGTGTGTTTCCTACGACGGAGTATTAGGGCCACACATGAAGAGAAAAAATATTTTTGCCATGACGAGATTAAACTCGACATGTCGACTTTAAAGTCGACATGTCGACATTAAACTCAACATTTTGAGAATAAAGTTGAAATGTCATGTTGAGTTTAATCTTGACGTGTCGACTTTAAACTCGCCATTTCGAGAATAAAGTTGATATATCGTGGCGACTTTAATCTCGACATTCCAAAGTTTGGAGAAAAGAGCAACCGCGCTCCACAGCTGCAGTCTGCGTTTTAAGAGTGAAGGTAGTCTTTGACGTGCTGCAACTGTATAGGATTCTGTGCATGTATCCTGTGCAGCGGTTGGCTCTCTTGAACTAATTTAAACTTTATTGTCGACACGTCGAGATTAAACTGAACATGACATTTCAACTTTATTCTCGAAATGGCGAGTTTAAAGTCGACAGGGCGAGATTAAACTCAACATGACATTTTAACTTTATTCTCAAAATGTTGAGTTTAATGTCGACATGTCGACTTTAAAGTCGACATGTCGAGTTTAATCTCGTCATGGCAAAAATATTTTTTCTCTTCATGTATGGCCCTAATACTCCGTCGTAGTTTCCAATAAGAAATGCTGCATGAGCTAAAACTAGTTTCAAGGGGATATTGTTTAAGCGTATATATTTATATATATATTTTTTATTGGGATTGTGGTTTATGTAGATTTATTACATAATTAAAAGTAATCAATGTTCACTTTTTTTAAGATAATCTATGCTACAAGTTTCTGTTAATGTGTGATTGACAGATAGATGTGTTTTTTTCAGGTTCACAAAGTGGTGCTGGCCTCCTGCAGCGGCTTCTTCAGAGCCATGTTTACCAGAGGCTTTAAGGAGTGCAGCGCCTCGGAGGTCACTCTGCGCGACGTGTGTCCAGAGGTGGTGGGGCGACTCATCGACTTTGCCTACACGTCCCGCATCACTGTGGGAGAAAAATGTGTGCTGCATCTGCTTCTAGCCGCAATAAGGTAAACGCTCCCAAATGGTAGTGCAAACGGGTGAAAGCTTTCATTTGGAGACCCAATCTCTCCTGAAGTTGTATCTCCCTCCCTTCTCCTGTTGAAGGTATCAGATGGAGGATGTGGCCAAGGCATGTTGTGATTTTCTTACCAAACACCTGGAGCCGGCCAACGTCATCGGCATCTCTCGCTTTGCAGAGGAGATCGGCTGCACCGAGCTGCACAAGACGTGCCGAAAGTACATCAACTCGCACTTCAGTGAGGTGAGCTGTCCATGTCCTTAAGTCCTTGAGCTTGGTTTTTATTAAAGCATAAGTCAGATAAAACATATACCTTTTTTAACATTGTAACAATAAGGAGAAACAAAGGGCTATTGTGATTCTAAAGGTAATTCTGACTGGAATCACATAAATAATAAAACTCCTTCCTCACCCACTGTGGGCGGTCTCCCCCTTTTTCCCTCCAAGCTCAGGTCCTCTACCAGAGGCCTGGGAGCTTGAGAGTTCTGCACAGTATCTTTGCTGTTCCTAGAACTGGTCTTTTCTGGACTATGATGTCTGATGTATTTCCAGGGATCTGCTGTAGCCACTTCTTTAGTTTGGGGGTCACTGCTGCAAGTGCCCCAATGACCACTAGTACCACTGATGCCTTGACATTCCAGGTTTTCTCTGGTTTCTCATGTTCCTTTTTTCTGATGTTGCAGTCACTTGGTATTGCTATGTCAACCACAATGGCTTTTCTTTGCTCTTTGGCCACCACCACAATGTCCAGTTGGTTTGCCATCACTTTTCTGTTCATCTGTATCTGGAAGTCCCACAGGATCTTGGCTCGGTCATTCGGGGTGTTTCCCATTTTGACCTTGGGATTTCCAGCCCATACTCTGCACTGTTCCTGTACAGTATTCCAGCTACTTGGTTATGATGGTGTCCTTCAATCAAGCCCAGCTTCAGTCCCTGATACGCGCCACTTGTATGGGGGCTTGTCCTCCCATGGCGGAACTTCTACCACAGTACAGACCAAATTCTCATTCAAAGAGTTTTCTCTATTATCATGACTGTGAATTTTGTAAATTCACACTGAAGGCATCAAAACTATGAATTAACACATGTGGAATTATATACTTAACAAAAAAGTGTTACACAACTGAAAATATCTTTTTTATTCTAGGTCCTTCAAAGTAGCCACCTTTTTCTTTGATTACTTCTTTGCACACTTTTGGCATTCTCTTGATGAGCTTCAAGAGGCAGTCACCTGAAATGGTTTTCAGTTCACAGGTGTCCCCTGCCAGGTTTAATAGGTGGGATTTCTTGCCTTATAAATTGGGTTTGGGACCATCAGTTGTGTTGTGCAGAAGTCAGGTGGATATACAGCTAACAGTCCTACAGAATAGACTGTTAGAATTTGTATTATGGCAAGAAAAAAGCTCTAAGTGAAGAAAAACGAGTGGCCATCATTACTTTAAGAAATGAAGAACAGTCAGTCCGAAAAAATGGTAACGCTTTCAACGTGTCCCCAAGTGCAGTCGCAAAAACCATCAAGTTCTACAAAGAAACTGGCTCACATGAGGACCGCCCCCAGGAAAGGAAGACCAAGAGTCACCTGTGCTGCAGAGGATAAGTTCATGTGAGTCACCAGAAATCACAGGTTAACAGCAGCTCAGATTAGAGACCAGGTCAATGCCACACAGAGTTCTAGCAGCAGACACATCTCTAGAACAACTGTTAAGATTAGATTATGTGAATGAGGCCTTTATGGTAGAATAGCTGCTAGGAAACCACTGCTAATAACAGGCAACAAGCAGAAGAGACTTGCTTGGGCTAAAGAACACAAGCAATGAACATTAGACCAGTGTAAAACTCTGTCTTGGTCTGTTGAGTCCAAATTTGAGATCTTTGGTTCCAACCATCGTGTCTTTGTGTGACACAGAAAAGGTGAACGGATTGACTCTATATGCCTGGTTCCCACGGTGAAGCATGGAGGAGGAGGTGTGATGGTGTGGGGGTGCTTTGCTGGTGACACTGTTGGGGATTTATTCAAAATAGAAGTCATAGTGAACAGGCATGGCTACCACAGCATCTTGCAGCGGCATGCTGTTCCATCCGGTTTGCGTTTAGTTGGACCATCATTTATTTTTCAACAGAACAATGACCCCAAACACACCTCCAGGCTGTGTAAGGGCTATTTGACCAAAAAGGAGAGTCATAGGGTGCTGCACCAGGTGACCTGGCCTACACAATCACCGGACCTGAACCCAATCGAGATGGTTTGGGTGAGCTGTACTGCAGAGTGAAGGAAAAAGGGCCAACAAATGCTAAGCATCTCGTGGAACTCCTTCAAAACTGTTGGTAGACCATTTCAAAGTAAAAACAAAAGGTGGCTACTTTGAAGAACCTAAAATATAAGACATATTTTTAGTTGTTTCGCACTTTTTGTTAAGTATATAATTCCACATGTGTTAATTCATAGTTTGGATGCCTTCAGTGTGAGTCTACAATTGTCATAGTCATGAAAATAAAATAATCTCTTTGAATGAGATGGTGTGTCCTAACTTTTGTTCTGTACTTTATGTGTGTTTGTTTGTCTTAATTGTAATAACTTATTTTCAGCTGCTCTCTTTTGTAAAAATCTGCCTATTGATTTCGACGCTAAGTACAAAAGCAGTCACATTACCCAGAGAGACTAGAAAGCTCTTCTTTTACTGTTGACATCCTAATAAAAGTTCTCATATTTTGTCGTGAAAACAAAGATGTATAAATAACCAAAATGGTAGATGAAGGATTTTGAACTTTAGTCTCAAAAATAAGACTGAACTGTGGTGAAGAAAATCTGGCAGTGCATCAGTAATAAGTACCGGGGCTCTTAGAGTCTTAGTTATAAATTAAAAAAGCTAGCGTTTTATAAGGTCATTGGAAGCTAACTTACTGGTCGTTCGGCTGAAGTAACTTTCAGATCCTTCACCAATTTCCTAGATGTTTTTTCTTTCTCTTCTCTTGCTAGCAGCCTGCTCTTCATTCACCTCAGGTCCTTCGCCCTGTTTCTAAATGTTTGTTACTGAATCTTAAAGTCCAGCTGTGTGGACAGCTCTGCACAAACCAGTGCAAGCAAAAGGTTGGTTGTCAAATAAGCTAATTTATCAGCTAATTTATTTGTTTACTGATTAGCTGGTAAACATGCTCTCTTTTTTTAAATGTGCAATCCTGAGCGTGTCGATCAGCACGCTGTCCTTGCACAATCTGATTACTTAGAGGGAAAAAAGCGCAGCTGCAGAAACCCCAACTGATTTGTATCAAGGGCAAACCATCAAGATTTTTTCCTTTTATCTAAGTGAAAATGAAGTTTTTATATTTGCAGAAGCAGCATCAGATCCTACTAAAAACATGAAGCTGAAGCACACTCTGGTGATGTTGTTCTAAAAGATCTGTGTTTCTAAATCTAGGTCACCAAAGTGGACGAGTTCTTTAGTTTGTCTCACTGCCAGCTGCTGGAGCTCATCAGTCAGGACAGCCTCAAGGTGCTCTGTGAGTCTGAGGTATGTATAGTAATTAGAAATGAATAAATTAAATAAATTAGCATTCAAAAAAATGTCCTCAACAGGTGTATAAAGCCTGCACAGACTGGGTGAGCTGGGACACGGAGGGCAGAGCCCACTACCTTCATGCTCTGCTCAATGCTGTTCATATTTACGCACTGCCTCCCAAGTTTCTAAAGAATCAGCTGCAATCTTGCCCTATCCTCAGCAAAGTAAACACCCTGCTTTGAAAATCTAACATGTTTTTTTTTTTTTCTCTTTCACTTTCAAACAAACCGTTGTTCTTTTCTTTAACTCCAGGCCAATTCCTGCAAGGACTTCCTGTCTAAAATCTTCCAGGAAATGACGCTGATGAAGGTTCCCCCCGCCCCGAACCGTGGAACCCAGCTCATCTATGTGGCTGGAGGGTGCTTACTTTACATATCCTCATCTGTTCCCTGTTCCTCCTGCAGACCCCTAATCAGTTTTGGTTTACCTTGAAAGATCCCATTAGTAAGATTCTGCCACCTAGTGGTTTGTTTTAGGAAGCACAATCTCACTTCTTCCTTTTTAGTTATAGGATTTAAATTTTTCCCCAGAGCTTTAGTTTTTGCTGAAACGTTTTTAAATTCAATTAATTATCTGCTATCAACTGGTACATTTTCTTCCTTTGACTCTACATACTCATTCCCTGTATAATAACTAATTCATTTATCTGAATTGGTTGTTTTGTCATTGTCTGCAGTACGGCATCAGACACAATATAAGCTCAAGAGGGAAAGCAAATGAGAAGGCTCCTAAATATTGGAGAAAGAAGTATTCAGATAGGATTGAAATACATCAAGCGTGGAGCAAATAACCGATTTCTCTAAAGTAACGTTAAAATGGATTGTAGCAGAATAGCTTTACTTCATGAACAGATGATTTTAGCAGTGAACAGATGGAGACCAGTCCGCTGTAAAAGGGTTCTGTTCTCTTAGAACTCTGTTTTTGGGTAAAAAGACTGTATCCACCTTTTATGCCTTAATGTTGTAGAAAATTTTATGTGGTCAATTTTTCATCTTGCCGTATAATTATAAATTCTAAAAATGAAGTCAGATGCCAGGACTCCGCTGGCCAAGTCATGTGCATTGGAATAAAATGTGCCGCGGGGTGTTTTCTTGTCTTGAAAAGAATTTTGATTCATGCTCCTAAAGGATGATCAATGATTAATCATTTTTTTAAACTCCAAACTAAAAAAAATAAAAGTTAGTTTTCCTTTTTTTAGTTTTTTTTCTAATAGAGCATTGAAAAATTCAAAGAGTGTGATCAAATGCATGTTATATATTGTTAATTTTACTGTGTGCAATTTAGAGATGAAAATCATACTTTTTAAAGCACTATTTGTGATTGTGGGGTTAGGATTGCTTTTGCATGCAGTCATAACTGTACAGTTGCCTCAGAAAAACTTTAAGCTTTTTGTTTTAATCCTCACTTTTATTATCACAATAGTACCACAAATATCCTAAGATTTTAAGTCCATATCGATCACCCCTAAAATGTGCTCCTTTTTAGGTCATATTTACTCACCCACACTAAAAATTCTCCCAGTTTAACAGAATTTGGTCCTCTTTAGACATTTTCCTAATAACTTACCTGCTCTTTCTGACTTTTCCCTGTTCAGCTACCGGCAGCATTCCCTGACCACCATGCAGGCTTATGATCCCCGAAGGAATGTTTGGATGAAACTGGCTGACATGGGGACTCCATGCAGCGGACTGGGAGCCTGTACGCTGTTTGGACTCATCTACACTGTAGGTCACATCTTTTTTTAATATTATCTGTAAACATCTATAGATGCAACCTTTAGGTTTGGGAGACTATTTGTAATGAGCTGAACTTGATAGGATGTTTTTTTTGTTTTTTATATGCAGGTAGGAGGCAGGAACCTGTCTCTTCAGACTAACTTAGATTCCAGCTCTCTGTGCTGCTATAACCCGATGACCAACCAGTGGAGCCCCCGAGCTCCCCTCAACATCCCAAGGAACCGGGTCGGAGTGGCCGTGGTGGATGACTGCATCTACGCAGTGGGGGGTTCGCAGGGCTCGGTGCATCACAACACGGTGGAGAGGTGAGACATTCATGCATTCATCTAATCAGCTCCTCCAAAAATAAGTCCATAGAGGCATCATTCTCTGTGATGGATTTGATAAGAGGCATTTGGACATTTCTTAGTGAATTCTGTAGAGCTGTTAATATTTTTGCTGCCGGTTGTCAAATGAGAGCAAACATGTTGGGACAAACCTCTGTGGAATGTCATTCTTGATGGGAATGCTCAACGTCCTGGTGCTGCCAGAAGTAGCTCCATCGATGCAGACAGCATGACCGTCTTTCTCTTTATATGCTTTTAAAGATTGAAATGAATCTCAAAGGTGTGCAGTCATTACCTGTACCATTAGTACAATGATTGGTTTAAGCAATTCTAACAAAATGTGCTGTAGGAATTAAATGTGAAACATTTTAATAACGATATTTGGAAATATACAGGCCAAGAAATATAACAAACTTCTGTTTGTGTGTTAAAGTCAGATGATGAGATAAGCTTTAAATGTAATTCCCATCTCAAGGACACCTTCTCAAGATGAGTGTAATTCAGATATATAACTTCGGATAAAGGGGCAAAATTTAAAACACAAAGGAAAAGTAAAGTTTCTTTAAAGCAGATATTCCCCTTTTTTGTCTTCATTCAATCTAGGATAGTAACACATAATTTTATGGTTAAGTCTGAAAAAATTCACAGTAAAAACAAAGTTTTAAATCTGGAATATGATTTGATGTGTTGCATTAAGCATCAGTATTTACCTCTACATTTATCTCACTCAACAGAACCTTTATTATTCCCTTCATCCTAAGCTGGTATAATTTTCCACATCAAAATCATGCCTGCATCTGAAGATAATCATGTGACACGTGACTTTTGAAAAAACATTTTAAATTATTTAATGTAGCACATCAATTATGATGTGAAAAAGCATCTTAAAACAAAAAACATATAAATTGAAAGATTCAATTCAGAAGGTGTAGCTTATGTAGATTTTGTGTCATAACCCCTTTTTCCTGCAGCTTGTCCACCTTTTTTTTTTTTTTAGAATTGCTTTATTAGCGTAAGCTTTTACAAGATATTTATGGTGCATAGCAAGCATGTTCATTATACTGAAATTGTATTTCATAAAACAAACTTATGGATATATAGTCTTACAGGAAGATTTTGATTTTTAACACCTAAATCAAACAATGAAGCAAAATATAACAAACTTGTCCCCTCCCACCCCCCACCCTCCTTTCTCATATGGTTCTCAATATCCTTTCATTTCTGTACACAACACATCCATCTGAGCACATTCATATCTGTGTAATTCAACACACTACTTCTATAAAGGTATATAAGTGAGGAAGTTATATAAGAAGAATCTAGTCCACATTTTAGACATAGACTTTGCAGATGTAATGGCTCACCTTTACAAGGAGGTAAAGATCTTAAGATCATTGCTAAAAAAGCTGAGTGTTGAACGTGTTTTTTTGGTAGAAATATTTGTAAAATAATTGCTTTTTTGAGCAAAATTATTTAAGAATTTACAGGGAGTTTGATAAAGAGTGGCCTGAGGCTGGAGTCGGCATCATGAGTCACTATCCTCAGGTTAATTCTACCTAGTTGGCTCGGCAAAAATTACGTTTGGATTTAATTTGAAAATAAAAAGAGAAGAGCGGCATTACAGTAAGTTCACATTACCTGAAGATCAATGCAAGGTTTCCTGTCAGTGATATGAGTTCATCTGCTGGCATCTGTCAGTGTGTTTAGTAGCAAACTATGTGGAAATTTCAGAACCTTTCAAGCTTCCTTCTGTATAAAGAAACAAAGCATCCCCCTTTAGAGGAAGAAAAATAAGTCAGCAGTTGCGGCTAAAGGTACCAAAACTGGTTTTATGATTGTTGTGTTATCGTTCTTGATTAACTAGCAAACCGACTGGACCTGAACCACACAGTAAAACCTGAAGGCCCCTTTTAAAGCAGCACAATCTCAATTAACAACTCAGAAGAACAGCAGTCGCACAGCCTCCAAGCCATTACTTCAGTAACCCGTCCAAATGATGCCTCAGCACTTACTAAATGCATGGAAGTTAACATAATTTTCAGAAGCCTAAAATCTTTGTTTAAAATCTGTTTTACTGATCTTATTTAATATTCTTTATAAAATACTGACATTTGTGTTACCACTGTCTCCAAGCCATAGCCATAAAAAAACTGTGTAATGAATCAAATTATTATGAATTTCTCTTTCTTAAATACCTGGTCAGCAGTTATTGTTCTTCTACTACTTTATAAATTGAATCCATTTAATTTATAAAATGCATAGAAATAACAATTTGTTCACATGACAGCTTAGAAAAAGACACAAACCAATTGAACATGTCTAAGAAAACATAAAAAAAAAAGTTTTAGAAAGACTGTACTAAAATAAATAAATCAGCCCACACTGTTTCAAATGCCTCTTAAAACGGCTTGTATGACGTTTAACGGCCGCTTTTACATCATTTTGGAGACATCATCATCATCATAAACTTTTTTTTAGCTGTGGCTCGTATTAAAGGGCTTCATAAATAAAGTGCTGAACATAAGAAAAATAATAATAACAACCAGAGCACTCAGAGACAGCAGAATTCCACGAAGCAGTAAAAACTCTGGATCTGGATCATTACCACATTTTAATGAATTGTTCATTGGCATGGGGCGAACTGCTGGTAAATATTTCCTTAAACACCGTTCCGAAGTGAAGCACAGCATGTCTGCAGCCTCTGGTGTCTGTTCTACTCTCACCTTCTTCATGATCTCTGCGCTCTGAGACTTCACCCTCCTTTACTTGAGTTTTTTTAGTTTTTATGTTTGGTATAATACTTCTTTTTTTTTTTTTTGTCTGATGCTAAAACTATCAATTGTCACTGCCTTCCTCTGGTATAGGGGGATAGGCTTGTTCAATTAGTTATCCCGGTCTCACATTGTAAAAGAATCCTCGAAACAACTCCTGAATCCAGATTATAATCCCGATCATCACCAAATGGATTGTTCCTTTGCATGAGGCACACCTCTGGTAAAAATATAATCAAAATCCACTCTTAACCTCCTTAGGTGAGGTAATAAGGCGGTAAATTGTTAAACTTGGCATACAATATTAAGCTTAAAAAAAAACTTGCCATAAAACAAAATAATGAAAAACAAAATGATTAGAAACACCAGTACAAATTAAATAAAATCCAGTCTCAGTGGTGTTGATGGCCCAAGAATAAAAGTATCTAAATGAGTTTTAAATGTGGAGAGGGGAGGGGCCTTTCGAATTAGCAGATAGGACATTTCATAACTTGGTCTCTCTTCTCTAAGCTTCTGCTTTTAAACTGGAAGCAACTGGTCAGCAGACCTGAGTGACTGCTTGGGGGGAGTAGCGGTGGAGAAGCTCTATCTAGTATCGCGGCTTCAGGTGGTTTAAGACCTTTGAAATGAACAGATTTTAAAATGAAGTCGTAAATCCACTGGGAGCGAATGAGGGAAAGCCAGGACCTGACTCTGCTCCGTTTTAAGTCCTCCTGTTAAAAGATATGCTGCAGATCAAAACAGCTTGTAGACAAACATGACACCTAATGCCTCTAAAGGCGGGTCAACATGAGGCATTTCAAGCTTTTCTTCCTAATCACAAAGATAGTAGCTGACAGATGGCTCAGATATGTAGCATGTTTCTTGGTATTTCCCAAGTTCTTTGACTTTAACTGTTACATGATGCACATTTGTTTACCATGTACAATCGCCATATAAGCAGCATGGGTGATATCATGTTTAATTCATTCAAGAAGAGGTTTTTTTTTTAAAGAATTTCCCAGGGGGTAAAGAATGACATAACTCAGTGCATGTAATGAAAATAACTGGGATAAGAAAAATACAGTTAATAGTATCTATATTACTAGTATGAATATTCTATATAATATATAATAGTATGATTATTATGAATATGAGTATCTAATATGAATAGTAATAATACTAGTAGCTGGACTGAATCAAATCCAGCAACAAAGCATGAAAAGTTCAAATTATACACCTGATCCAGTCTTCCTCCTCTTCAATCCTTTCTTCTCACTCTTGCATTCTCTGCCTTTTAAAATGAAAATTGTTCGTGGGAATGTCTGTTTTGGCATTTATCATGCTAGTTTAAATTCATATTTTTCATGCTAGATCTTAAAGGCATCCTGAGTAACTTTTAAACAAGTCTTCAGGTCAACGTGTCTGCCTCTAGGCTGCTTCTTCTGCTGTTTCAACATCTTCAAGCTTCAAATAAAGATTGTTAATATTTGCCAAGCACGGTTGCTGGCTTAACCTAATCCACTCAAAGTTGACTGGCTCTGGCAGAACATGGAGGTCACTGCACCTCCCTCTGCATCAGGTGCAGGACTGCTGCAGAGATTTATTGGAAAAGTCATTAAAAGTAGATAAGAGATGATCACCAGCCTGAGTAACTGCCGTTTGTTTTTCTACAGGTGGGATCCTGAATCTAATCGCTGGTCTTTTGTTTGTCCGATGTCTGTGGCTCGCCTGGGAGCGGGCGTGGCGGCTTGTGGTGGGGCTCTGTATGTGGTTGGGGGGTATGATGGTCAGAACCGCTGGAATACGGCTGAGCGATACCAGCCTGACACGAACACCTGGCACCCTCTAGCTCCTATGAACACCATACGCAGCGGACTGGGTGAGTTGGAGATTTGTATTTCTCTGAAAAGTTGGGTTGAGTTTTTAATCTGTGCCATCACAACATATTTGTCCCCATAAAATGTTTTTTTTTTTTATGATCTACACAGACAAAAATAATCAAATAAATGTCATTAACACAGTTTAGAAATGTTATGTTTGAATAAATAAGGACTTTTCTTTCAACCTCGGTTTATTTAGCTGTTTCTGTTTTGTGTTTTGCAGGATTGGTGAGCATCAACTCTCATCTTTATGCTATAGGAGGCTATGATGGACAAAACCAGCTGTGCACAGTGGAACGTTACAATATTAGCAGGAACATCTGGGAGCCCAAGGCCTCCATGAAGCAGTGCCGCAGCGCGTTGGGAGTCACGGTCCACCAGGGGAGCATCTACGTCTTCGGTCAGTCTTGGCGCAGATGTTGGTCACATGACAGATGTTTTAAGAAAAGGAACAATCCTTGGTGCCAAATAAATGCACCCTTTAAGCTTCTCAGTGTATTTTGATTGATATGTGAACAGGTCAGTACCAGTCAAGGAGTTCGGCTCGTCAGTTAAAAAAAAAACACGGTGGATAAATTGTCTGACTCTCTGTCAAATTAGCTTATTTATGAACATTTGACATTTTCAACGGCAGAACTGATATTAAGCATGAAAGAAATCATATCGCACAACCAAAACAGTCCTATTTTTAATGATGGTTTAATAATGTAAATATCAGCACCAAAAGACAGATGAAGACATGACATTCTGCTGATGAGCTGCATAAAAAAATGGTTGTAAGAGTTTCTAAATGCCCCCTGAAGTTAAATATCTTCTCTGCCTGCTCGATAATTGTATATAACAATGTTTAATTGTTTGCAATTTATGCATTAATATGAAGAGTAGGACGGTCAACTAAAATAATCCAACTTTATTCCACTTGTTATTTGTAGCCTAAATATCATCTCAATTAAGCTGATTAAAGGCATGCAAACACATAAACATAACGCATTGCATAAAGATAAGTATTTTTTAAGCTAAAATCTATTTTACATGTTAAATAAAAGATTAAATGAAACATTATTTTAGATTTTACTTAATCTGCCATTTTAACAAATCTGAATATTTAGTTTTTTTATATTTCTAAATGAAAACGAAGAGTGAGAACTTCATTTGCTTTAGGTGGTATGCCTTCTTAAAAGGTGAAAATCTTAAGTTGTTTTTTTTTTTTTTTTTTTACCTTTTTTTAACCTTGCAATAAATGCAAAATTTCAAGTCTGAAAATTAAAATTAGATGACAAAGGAAAATAATCAGAAGTTTCTGACTTTAGCCCTTAAAAACCTCTATACATATCCCAAAGAGGAAAATCAGTCGTTTGATTTGTGTGTGCCGGGATGCATCTGAAATTTCCAGGTCTTGGATTTTTTTAGCCCTAAAATAATTTTTTTTATAATTTATTTAAATAACATTATATGAAAGCAAATGCACTTTTATCTCAGCTATCTTGTAAACGCTGTGTGCCCAGGTGGACCCTAAACATACAGGCAAAAATTGTGGTGAAATATTTAATCATGTGTAAGAACGGTCCAGTCAAAGTCCAGACCAGTAAGAATCTCTTGTAGGAATTCATCATTGAGCCCAATATTGGGAGATCTTCTTTCACCTAAAATTACAATTAAAACAAACTTTAAGATTTGTGATTTTTAATATGACAAAATAAAAAAAGAAGCAATACAAATACAGTGGGGCAAAAAAGTATTTAGTCAGCCACCAATAGTGCGAGTTCTCCCACTTAAAAAGATGAGAGAGGCCGGTAATTTTCATCATAGATATACCTCAACTATGAGAGACAAAATGAGAAAAAAAAATCCAGAAAATCACATTGTCTGATTTTTAAAGAATTTATTTGCAAAATATGGTGAAAAATAAGTATTTGGTCAGTTACAAACAAGCAAGATTTCTGGCTCTCACAGACCTGTAACTTCTTCTGTAAGAGGCTCCTCTGTCCTCCACTCGTTACCTTCATTAATGGCACCTGTTTGAACCCGTTATCAGTATAAAAGACACCTGTCCACAACCTCAAACAGTCACACTCTAAACTCCACCATGGCCAAAACTAGAGAGCTGTCAAAGGACACCCGAAACAAAATTATAGACCTGCACCAGGCTGGGAAGTCTGAATCTGCAATAGGTAAACAGCTTGGTGTGAAGAAATCAACTGTGGGATCAATTATTAGAAAATGGAAAACATACAAGACCACTGATAATCTTCCTCGATCTGGGGCTCCACGCAAGATCTCACCCCGTGGGGTCAAAATGATCACAAGAACGGTGAGTAAAAATCCCAGAACCACACGGGGGGACCTAGTGAATGACCTGCAGAGAGCTGGGACCAAAGTAACAAAGGCTACCATCAGTAACACACTACGCCGCCAGGGACTCAAATGCTGAGTTTCATCCAAAGAACACCATACCTACAGTGAAGCATGGGGGTGGAAACATCATGCTTTGGGGCTGTTTTTCTGCTAAGGGACCAGGACGACTGATCCGTGTGAAGGATAGAATGAATGGGGCCATGTATTGTCAAATTTTGAGTAAAAACCTCCTGCCATCAGCAAGGGCATTGAAGATGAAACGTGGCTGGGTCTTTCAGCATGACAATGATCCCAAACAAACCGCCCGGGTAACGAAGGAGTGGCTTCGTAAGAAGCATTTCAAGGTCCTGGAGTGGCCTAGCCAGTCTCCAGATCTCAACCCCATAGAAAATCTTTGGAGGGAGTTGAAAGTCCGTGTTGCCCAGCGGCAGCCCCAGAACATCACTGCTCTAGAGGAAACTGCATGGAGGAATGGGCCAAAATACCAGCAACAGTGTGTGAAAACCTTGTGAAGACTTACAGAAAACGTTTGATCTCTGTCATTGCCAACAAAGGGTATATAACAAAGTATTGAGATGAACTTTTGTTATTGACCAAATACTTATTTTCCACCATATTTTGCAAATAAATTCTTTAAAAATCAGACAATGTGATTTTCTGGATTTTTTTTTTCTCATTTTGTCTCTCATAGTTGAGGTATAGCTATGATGAAAATTACTGGCCTCTCTCATCTTTTTAAGTGGGAGAACTTGCACTATTGGTAGCTGACTAAATACTTTTTTGCCCCACTGTATTACAACGGGCACTTTTGAAAGGAACCGTGAGATAATTATTTATTTTTCCTGACTATATTTTTATAAAATATCCCTCTGTTTATGGATGATTTGAAGCTGTAGAATAAGAAGAATATTTGGTTATAAACTTATAGGGACACCCTGATTATTTTGCAAACAGTTGTTAAAGAAGTCTATTCTTCGTTTTTCTACTGAGAGATGTTTTCTGCTTCATCTCTAATGTGCCTGAAGAGCTTTTTGTAAATTTTCATTGCACTGTCACAAGTACAGAGCAACGAAATGAACTCTCTGCATTTAACCAATCCCCTTGGGGAGCAGTGGGCTGCCATTGTGCGGCTTCCAGGGAACAGTGTGGGGTTAAGCGTCAGTCTGTGAGATTGGGGCTTGAACTCAGAGCCTCTGGTTTCCAAGTGCAACCACCAGGCCACCACTCCTATGTTAAACAAGTTTGTGTAATAGTAAATGCAACATACATGACAAAATATATTAGCCAATCCAGCACTATGATGATTAATTAGTTAAAGGGAGAATAATCAGATTTAACAATAGAACAGTACAACTATGAAGCTGCTTTGTAACCTTTTTTCTGTGCATCATTTAGGAGGGTTTAACCAACACGGCTTCCTGTCCAGCATCGAGAGCTACGATCCGGACAAAAACGTGTGGATGCACATCGCCGACATGCCCGTCGGTCTCAGCGGCATGGGTATCACGGTCACCATGGAGCCATGTCCCGGCTCCCTGCCTGAACAAGAGAGTGAGGACGAAGCCCTATAGGACAAAGAACCAAGAGATGCCGCGTTAAAAAGCAGAAACCAAGTGAAGAAGGTTCCTCAAACCCAAGACATTCCAAAATCAGCAAATAAAACTCGCCTCCTACATGGATTTCACCAATCTTGCACCTTAGAGTAAAGCACAGTTTAATTTCCTTGCCGGATGCAGGATGAAGGGTAATTTTTTTTTTCAAGCACAATCACGCACAACAAACTACTTGAATGAATGAAAAAAAACTTTTCAAACATTTTTTCTTAAAAAAACAAAAAGCAGAAAAAGACCTTAGCCTTGGTGCACAACTCTCTCTACTTATTCCTCCATTCTTTGTAGCATTCAGGTGATTAAGTGCACACAAAGCATAATACACATCCATTTTAAATAGCTTTATTACTTCCCATTTCTCATCTCTTCCACCTGCACTGTATGCTTCTTTTCCCACAACGATGCTCAAAAGTTAAGTCTTGTTAAACATCCATGTTTTTAGACTTAAAAAAGATGAGACCATGATAAATAAACGTATATATTTTTTTATCTTTGATGCAAATTTTAAATTTTGTCGCAATGGTGTGCACACCTTTCTTCTAATCCTAATTAAGCAACTTTTGATTCCGCCTTAGTAGGAGACATCATGACCCACCAGAGAGTATTTGAATGATCTACCTTACAAAGGTTCTCCAAGAAAGTGAAGGGATTCTCTTTTTCACGTCCCTCATTCAAAGGTCCCACAAACTTTCTGGCAGGTTTTTTTGCGTTTGCTTCTCTTCTTGCTAAACTGTAGTTTATACAGATATAATGTTGGTCTCACTGATAATGCTGAAATATCTTCAGGTTCCCGCCAGATAACTTGAAGGCTTTGGGTAAAACCTTACTAGTAATTCGAATTGCTTATAACTTTATTCATCTTTGGTGAAAAAAAAAAAAAAAAAAAAAAAAAGGATCTCCAGTTCCATTTGGAGAGAAGTAGTCTAATAGCATGATGCTGCCACTACCATGTCGCACAGTTGGCCTAACACATGATGTCGATGAAAGAAACTACTTCTAAATCGAAACAAACCCCAATTTTACAGCACATTTTTTTACGTGAGGTTGTTGGAAATCGCCATCAGTGTTAATAATGGGATCTCAGAAACCATTTTTTTCTATGTGTCTGTGTTCAAGAGCTGCTGCATGTGTTGTAAATTTAGCCTTATCACAACATGCATGCTCAATGCTTATAATATTTAATAATCCTAGATTCAGCTTCAAATGTTTTAGAATCTAATTTCCCTGAGCTAAGTTATTTTTTCATATCTGTAATAAATAAAAAGGCAAAAACACTGTTAATAAATTTTTTTATTTGTCATTTTATCATCGAGACATTAGTCCACATAACTGCATGCTAATATAACAGTCCGAGTTGTCTTTGTCTATTGCCAAGGCAGCGTACCCTGCTCCTGACACTTTTGCCAGTGATTCTACTTCTTTGTTTTTCAGTTAAATTGTGCAAGATAAGCGTAAAAGATTTATCATGGTCTCATTTCCGTCACTGATTCTTATCCAGAAGAAGCACTTTTTAAAACTTCCTGCTGTTAATTTAAGCCCCTAGGTCTTTTGTTTATTTTCCAGTACAATCATGTTTTTTTATATTTGTCCATGACAATAAATCTAATTCTATAAGTTAATTGTATTCTTATTATTGTCAGTATTTGTTTATCTTTAACATAAGATGCAGCTTTATTAGATTATGGAGGAGCCTCTGTGTCGCCACTAGATGGTGGAATACGACTGAAAATCCTGACCAAGGAGCTCTCACTGTGTTTTTATCCTGTCAAACAATGGCAGACCAAAAAATATAACATTCTGATGTGTGCATAATATGCTTTAATGCGTTTATTCATGTTTTGATGATACTTTCAGCTATTCACACCTTCCAAGAAGCTTTTAATCTAGCAGTCCTGAAGCAAAGACAAAAGCCACTGGACTGTGAACAGAGTTAGTCATCAATCACAGACGTCATTTATGTGTTTACGTCCTCCTTTCTGCGCTGCTGCTCTCCATCTCCTCCATGTCTCACCTGCAACTATTCCGTCAGGAGTTTAAAAAAAGAAGATCCTGTGCTGTAGACTCATCAGATTTCTGATGTTCCATTCGTCATCTGGGACAATAAGCTGGAATGTGATCACTCTGTCATCCTTGTGCGTCTTCATTCACTGTTGACAGAGCAACCTGTTGGGCAATGACTATAGATGAGGCCGAGGCAGATTTGCTCTGGCTGCGCGTCCAGGGGCCCGGAGGGCGCGTGTGGAGACGATCATGAAAGTAGAGGGCTCTTACCACTTGCAGACCTACATAAGAGCGAGTGACTCACATGGCAAACGCATGACGCAGGCATCTAGTACATAGTGCACTTGGTTACACAAATACGGGTGTGCTCATGCACAAACACATTTTTCTTTATCTCTGTGTATGTGTGTGTGTGTGCGCACTGGTGCAAAACAAAGCTGGCTGTCTTATTCGCAGGCTGCGGAAACAGATTTGACTCAATGTGTTCATTGTCTCATGAGAAGAGGGGAATAAAGACGGGAGATGTAGCACTGTACAGCAGGGAGATTTGCTTTCTGCGGAGAATCAGTGGAGGAAATTTAGTCCACATACAGATGTAGCTGTTGTACATCTTTTGCATGCTCACTGAACAGTTGCACAACCTCAGGAGAGAAACTGATGCTCACACACAAAAAGATGCAGCAACTGACAAAAGTCTACCAATATTCATAATGACTGTAAAAGCTGCTTAACTCTGTTGTTATTTGGGGGTAGGGGTGAATCCTTATTGATTAGGCTAAAAAAGCAACAAGAAGCCAAGTTAGCCATCACTCCACTGAGGAGACACAGCAAATGCTCTTGTTATATGAGACCCTAATGAAGCACTTTGGCATCCCCCTCTTTTGAAACATGGTGGTGGAAGCGTCATGCCATGGGAAAAGCTTGTCAGAGTAAATTGGAAGTTGCAGATAATCTGCACTTTAGGGATTAAAGAAAACTAAGCAGCTACAAAAGTAAATGAAAGAAATTTCATGTTTTACAGCAAATTGCTTAAAGCCCACACCTATTTTTTTTGTTGTTGACACCTTTAAAAGAGTGGCAGGAAGAAAATCAGGAAAAAATGTGACTGAGCATCACCCTAAAAACACCACCACCATAGTAACGTAGTGCGGTGGCAGCATCATGCTGTGGGACTGCTTTTCCTCAAAGATTCCATATACAGGTGCTGGTCATAAAATTAGAATATCATGAAAAAGTAGATTGATTTCAGTAATTCCATTTAAAAAGTGAAACTTGTATATTATATTCATACATTACATACAAACTCATATATTTCAGATGTTTATTTTGTTTAATTTTGATGATTACAAATGACAACAAATGAAAATCTCAAATTCATCATATCAGAAAATTAGAATATTACTGAAGACCAATAAAAACAAAGGATTTATAGAAATGTTGGCCAACTGAAAAGTATGAACATGAAAAGTATGAGCATGTACAGCACTCAGTATTTAGTTGGGCCTCCTTTGAACTGTATTACTGCAGCAATGCGGCGTGGCATGGAGTCGATCAGTCTGTGGCACTGCTCAGGTGTTATGATAGCCCAGGTTGCTCTAATAGTGGCTTTTAGCTCTTCTGAATTGTTGGGTCTGGTGTATTGCATCTTCTTCTTCACAATACCCCATAGATTTTCTATGGGGTTAAGGTCAGGAGAGTTTGCTGGCCAATTAAGAACAGGGATACCATGGTCCTTCAACCAGGTACTGGTAGCTTTGGCACTGTGTGCAGGTGCCAAGTCCTGTTGGAAAATGAAATCTGCATCTCCAAAAAGTTGGTCAGCTGCAGGAAGCATGAAGTGCTCTAAAACTTCCTGGTATGTGGCTGCGTTGACCCTGGACCTCAGAAAACACAATGGACCAACACCAGCAGATGACATGGCACCCCAAACCATCACTGACTGTGGAAACTTTACACTGGACTTCAAGCAACGTGGATGAAGTGCCTCTCTTCTTTTCCTCCAGACTCTGGGACCTTGATTTCCAAAGGAAATGCAAAATTTACTTTCATCAGAGAACATGACTTTGGACCACTCACCAGCAGTCCAGTCCTGTTTCTCTTTAGCCCAGGCAAGACGCTTCTGACGCTGTCTGTGGTTCAAGAGTGGCTTGACACAAGGAATGCGACAGCAGAAACCCATGTCTTTCATACGTCTGTGTGTGGTGGTTCTTGAAGCACTCACTCCAGCTGCAGTCCACTCTTTGTGAATCTCCCCCACATTTTTGAATGGTTTTTGTTTCACAATCCTCTCCAGGGTGCGGTTATCTCTCTTGCTTGTACACTTTTTTCGACCACATCTTTTCCTTCCCTTCGCCTCTCTATTAATGTGCTTGGACACTGAGCTCTGTGAACAGCCAGCCTCTTTAGCGATGACCTTTTGTGTCTTGCCCTCCTTGTGCAAGGTGTCGATGGTCGTCTTTTGGACAACTGTCAAGTCAGCAGTCTTCCCCATGATTGTGTAGCCTATAGAACTAGACTGAAAGACCATTTAAAGGCTTTTGCAGGTGGTTTGAGTTAATTAGCTGATTAGAGTGTGGCACCAGGGGCCATCAATTTTGAACCTTTTCACAATATTCTAATTTTCTGATATGATGAATTTGAGATTTTCATTTGTTGTCATTTGTAATCATCAAAATTAAACAAAATAAACATCTGAAATACACTATATTGCCAAAAGTATTTGCTCACCTGCCTTGACTCACATATGAGCTTAAGTGACATCCCGTTCCTAATCCATAGGGTTCAATATGACGTCGGTCCACCCTTTGCAGCTAGAACAGCTTCAACTCTTCTGGGAAGGCTGTCCACAAGGTTTAGGAGTGTGTTTATGGGAATTTTTGACCATTCTTCCAGAAGCGCATTTGTGAGGTCGCACACTGATGTTGGACGAGAAGGCCTGGCTCTCAGTCTCCGCTCTAATTCATCCCAAAGGTGTTCTATCGGGTTGAGGTCAGGACTCTGTGCAGGCCAGTCAAGTTCATCCACACCAGACTCTGTCATCCATGTCTTTATGGACCTTGCTTTGTGCACTGGTGCACAGTCATGTTGGAAGAGGAAGGGGCCAGCTCCAAACTGTTCCCACAAAGTTGGGAGCATGGAATTGTCCAAAATGTCTTGGTATGCTGAAGCATTCAGAGTTCCTTTCACTGGAACTAAGGGGCCAAGCCCAGCTCCTGAAAAACAACCTCACACCATAATCCCCCCTCCACCAAACTTTACACTTGGCACAATGCAGTCAGACAAGTACCGTTCTCCTGGCAACCGCCAAACCCAGACCCGTCCATCAGATTGCCAGATGGAGAAGCGCGATTCGTCACTCCAGAGAACGCGTCTCCACTGCTCTAGAGTCCAGTGGCGGCGTGCTTTACACCACCGCATCCGACGCTTTGCATTGCACTTGGTGATGTATGGCTTGGATGCAGCTGCTCGACCATGGAAACCCATTCCATGAAGCTCTCTGCGCACTGTTCTTGAGCTAATCTGAAGGCCACATGAAGTTTGGAGGTCTGTAGTGATTGACTCTGCAGAAAGTTGGCGACCTCTTCGCACTATGCGCGTCAGCATCCGCTGACCCCGCTCCGTCAGTTTACGTGGCCTACCTCTTCGTGGCTGAGTTGCTGTCGTTCCCAAACACTTCCATTTTCTTATAATACAGCTGACAGTTGACTGTGGAATATTTAGGAGCGAGGAAATTTCACGACTGGATTTGTTGCACAGGTGGCATCCTATCACAGTTCCACGCTGGAATTCACTGAGCTCCTGAGAGCGACCCATTCTTTCACAAATGTTTGTAAAAACAGTCTGCATGCCTAGGTGCTTGAATTTATACACCTGTGGCCATGGAAGTGATTGGAACACCTGATTCCAATAATTTGGATGGGTGAGCAAATACTTTTGGCAATATAGTGTATATGAGTTTGTATGTAATGTATGAATATAATATACAAGTTTCACTTTTTTAATGGAATTACTGAAATCAATCTACTTTTTCATGATATTCTAATTTTATGACCAGCACCTGTATTAGCTTTTAAAAAGTGTAAGTCGTCATGACTTGCTTTTAAAATGTTTTTATATTTCAAAGTCTAGGTTGAAAACCACTGGTTTAGAACTGTGGTTTCTAACCCTGCTGAAATAATCCTGTGCTGCATGTTTTGGGTGTCTCCTCGCTGCCACTTGACTAAGATGGAGGAGTGATTAACCAGCTACTATAGCTATAACATGATGTCTAGAAGGACATCATTTGAAACAGGTAAGCTCAAACAGAGACAGATCTGAATAATGCAGTGTGGGGGGGCTTAATGACTTGTTTTGGAATCCACTGATTCAAAAGGATTGAATGCAGCAGCTATCCTCCCTGTGGGGATGCATGGTGATGGCAGCATCATGCTGTGTGGGTCATTGGGGTTTTGTCTTTGTTTTGTGTTTTTTAGCACAGAAGAATAAGATTTTTTCAGTTAAAGAGTCATGACTGTTTTCTAATGATACAAAACACAGAACTGCGTTTTGCGCTCGTACTTGCCTTGGTGTTTGAGTTGAGCTGGATGCTGGTCACCTCAGAGTATCCATTAATTCAATC